TTGCGCTCTTGCTAAACAAATATGCACCTTAAATATGTCTCAAATGAATCCTCAAAAAAATACTGCAATCTCAGTTCAACTACCGGACCATACCTTGCCGGTCACTCCATTTAAAAAGTACTGTTGTAACATCACTTTATGAATAAAGATTTGACCTTAAATTATTTTTTTTTAGAAAATTAGAAAACGACAGATACAAAATGATAATTTTATTTTAGTTATTCCCGATAAAAAAAAAGATTTTTGCTGTGACTTGCAATCCAATTAGTAAAATAAATGCATCCAATTTTTCACTTTAAAATTATTCAGTTTCATGGTGGCCCATTAATTATAAAAAATGGATATCATATTTTCCTATTTAATAATGAACTGCAGCGTTAATTTGTTTGTCACCCTTTTGCGCATTTTCTATGGATTACCTCAAAGTGTGACCTCAAAGTGTGACCTCAAAGTGTAACCTCAAAGTGTGACCTCAAAGTGTGACCTCAATGTGCGACCTCAATGTTCGACCTCATTATGTGTGACCTCTTTAGTCAATCCATTAACTAATGGTGCTTGGTACTCGGAAGGTTTTTGAACGATTTATCTTAAATTTTGATTGGATTGTTCCGACATTAAAATTTCTGAATTGTGAAGGTTGACTTTTATAGGAAAACTTAGTTTCGACGCAAAGTTAGGGTTTCAAGCTAAATATTAAGTTTCAAAATGCCTCCATGATTGTGCGTTCTTATTGTTTGTTCTTAATATTCGTTCTAATTATTTGTGCATCCTCATTACTTGATGATCACTGCATGTGTGTCCACTTTGGAAGGAGAGAATGTTGACAGCTTCCTTCTTTTCCATATCTGCCTTTTATTCAAAGCGTTCTTCCTCCCCTATCACCCCTATAACCCTCATACAAAGTCTGAAGATTTTTGAACAATATTATTTTATATTGGAAAACTTTTAACAATATAGTTCGGAGGAAAAAGTTAAATCTGTAGAAATCATTTTAAATATTCATATTTCTGAAAATTCAATATGTGTGATTAAATAATGTACATTTTTTCCATCTTTTTGAAATTTATGTTGTTTTACTTTTCCTATTAAACAAAGGAATTGAGTCTTTGCCACAAACTCTGATTTCCTAATCTTCGTATTGTTCAACCCAGTTTGTCAAAACCTTATATATTTCAAACTATGTATTCTGTTCTAACAAATAATCTGAGTTTTAAATATCTAAGGTTCACACCATAAAGTTAAACCTATTCCTACTGGGGGAACCCCCTGTAGTTTTTTTTACATAACTCAAAAAGTATTGGTCTGAGCCTGCTGGATTTTCTGACTTCTTCTAAATACTCATATCCCTCCCATTAGGTCTAAAACTGGGCTTTTATACTAACTGCCTGAGTCCTAAGGCACACAACCTGAATGACTACTTTTTCCTGTATACAGAAGTAACTAAATCCTTGTTTTGACCCACTTCCAGTTGTTAGATTTATTTTATCATTTCTATCATTTTTACTATATAAACTGGACTTTGCAAAAAAATCAATTAAAAAAATTTGCAAATCTTTTTTTGCTGATTCTAAAAGTAGAACGCAAGAACTTTTCAATAATGTTAATTTTGACATATTTGGACATCAAACATGGGATTTTATCCTGATTTTCAACTACCCCAACAGGAATAGGTTTAAAAAGTTATAAGGATTATAGAAAAATGTAAGTTTTGTGCAAAGATTTAATTTTTTGCCTTTCTTTATTCTGAATTCTGATATATAAAACAGTTATTTTGGCATACTGAAAAGGGCCGGGAATTGTTTTTATTTTAATTTTAAAACGATCATTTCGTTTTCAAAACTTTCAATGAAACCTAAATCCTAAATTCGTCATGGGCGTGCCCTCCTCCCCTTGTGCCCCCTTGTAACCCCCTTGTGCCCTTCTTTATCTCTATCAAAAAATTAACTTCCAGCTCTCAACTTTGTAATCTTGGATCTTGGTTTAAAATGATGGCGGGGCCTAGCTAGCTACACTTAAAATGCTAATTTGGAACTTATTCAAACTGAACAATTCGGGAGACAGAATACAGAATACAGAATACAGAATACAGAATTCAGAATTCAGAATACAGAGTACAGAATATAGAATACAGAATACAGCATTCAGAATACAGAATACAGAATACAGAATACAGAATACAGAATACAGAATACAGAATACAGAATACAGAATACATAATACATAATACAGAATACAGAATACAGAATACAGAATACAGAATACAGAATACAGAATACATAATACATAATACATAATACATAATACGGAATACAGAATAGAAAATACGGAATACAGAATACAGAATACAGAATAAAGAATACATAATACAGAATACAGAATACAGAATAGAGAATACAGAATACAGAATACAGAATACATAATACAGAATACAGAATACAGAATACAGAAAACAGAGTTCAATAAATAAAAATAAAAAAGTCCTAACTTAAACAATCTAAATTTACAATATAGAACACAGGCTACAGAAAACAGAGTTCAATAAATAAAAATAAAAAAGTCCTAACTTAAACAATCTAAATTTACAATATAGAACACAGGCTTCAGAAAACAGAGTTCAATAAATAAAAATAAAAAAGTTCTAACTTAAACAATCTAAATTTAAACTAAAAATAAATTTGATTTAGAAAGAATTAAAAAAATATCAACCAAAAAACATAAAGATAGAAAAAAAATTGAAAAAATAACAGAACAGATATTAAACATTTCTAAATTAATTCCTAGAAATTAATTCCTCTACCCTGTGGTTTTTTTCTGAATAACTTAACATTATAGTTGTTAACAAATTTTGAATTTTTTTGCTTTCAAAAAAAGCAGAAATGATTAATAACTTTTTAGTAATCAATCTTATATATTTGAAAAACCCTTTAAAAATGGATAAAATAACATGAGTCATATGTTAATATTTGTCAAAAGTAAAAATAACTATTTTTGAAAAATGTTTCGACATACTTTTTGAACTTTTTAAAAGTCCTCCGTTACATCCTAACCAATTAAAGTTAAAGGGTCTAAATTTGTTTAATGATCAGGTCTTGAAAAGTTGGACTAGGGACATATATAACACTCCCCTATTTCAACTCTAAGGGCAAAATAATGTACATTAGACAAAACTAGCCCAACCAGGATAGGGTTAACAAGATGTAAAAATATACTAAAATAAAATAATTCAGAAAGGGGGGGCATAAAACTAAGTTATTTGTCAGATAAACAATATTATACAAATATAAAACTATGAGATTGGGTAACTTCCTGTGCTTTGATATACAACCAGGATAATGTTCGGTTATAATATCTTTCATATTCAATTCCATTGAGATTGAGTTACTTATATGTTATAGTATTGAGGTCAAGTGCTCAGTGCTAACCATGTACAGTGTTTTTTTTCTTGAATGCAAATTTTGTGGTTAAATTATCTAAAACAAAATATAATAAATTCATTTTTATACCTATCTTTCTTTTTTGGCACAACTAAATGCGCCTTTTTAAAAAAATTAAATTTTCAAAATACACGAAAAAAAGCATTAAATCCGCTAAATATTATCTTTTTTAATTTTGTTGAACGAAAGAGAGAATGCCGCAGATAAATGAGCAATAATTAAGATCTAAAATCGACGATGGGCGCGAAGTTAGTAAAAAAAGTAAAAAGTAAAAAATTATTTATTTATGAAATATAACAAAAACATACAAAAAAATGTGTTTCAGGAGAAAATATTTAAAAACCTCTAAAAGTAGAGGTTGTGGGAATATTTCCCCCCAATTCTAAAAAATATAAAAATAGAAATAATAGGAAAAGGAAAGGAAAGGATAAGGAAAGTTACATATTTATTGTTTACACTATATTTTACATAAAAATTAGTGGTGGATTGTTAGTATTTTTCGACGATGAACTAACAACTTTTAGTTTAGTTTAGATTTATTTGGANTAGATAATCATTGTAATTAAGAGTATATTGCTCGTTTTTATTAAGGGAACCTATATAATTTTTCACATCTTCAAGATCATCGTGGTCGTGTTTTATTCAATTTAGAAATGATAAAATTGTAATATCTTTGTCGAAATATGCATGTAATCCACCAAAAAGGGTTGAAAGGAGATAGGATAGGAAGAGGATGGAATTGTGTAAGCGATGGGAAAAAACTGTGTGGCATATTGTTAAATTAACAAGGGGGGAGGCTCTCCAAGTTAAAAAGAGGGGGTGCTTGGCTTGATACCCCCCCCCCCGCGATCTTGAAGGATTTAGTGCTTCCAAATCTCTGTTCAATTATAGAGTTTCGATATTTGCAATCCAGAGCACTTTACTTTAATTCTAAACATTAATATTAAATAGATGTAAAAATAACAGGTTCATAAGGGATAGGGATGCCATTAGTCTCCAATAGTGACTCCAGTAGTTGACTCAAGTATTTGGGGTATTTTAAATCAAGTCTAGTCTATAAATCATAGTTTTGGTGATTTAACCTTATTTAAATAGTTGCCTCAAGTAAGTTCGTACAACAATTCAAGTCTAGAGGCATTAGTTTTGGATGGTTTATCCCAATTAGTTTTAAAGGGAGTGTTCGCTAAAAATTACGTATTCGTATAAAATTAAAATTTCATAGCAGTATTAATTCTGTTTGTTTTAAATTATATTTCGCTCGCGCTGGATTTTCGAACATTTCTGGAAAATATGAAAATGTCGTCTTCATTGTCAAAAATCCTCAAAACAGGAATATTTGTTTTCAAAAGTAACTATCAGGTCATAAAAATAAAAACATATTATAAAATATCAACTATATACGAATGCGTCGAAAAATTATCGATGATTTTTGGTTGTAATATATGAATGGTTTGTTTGGAATTAAATTGATTTTTTACGACCCGAGTTGAATGTTGCAACTTTCTGAATTTGTATGAACTCTACGTTCTTTGGTATGGGTCGTTTTTAACAATTTTCTCCGTATATGTTGTATGAAAATTTTGTCTGGTTAATAATTGTCAACAGAATATTTTTTATGTATTCCCTATTTTTGTTTGTTTACAAATATTAATTGTTGATGAATGGAAATGTAAACAAACACGCCAGTTGTGTTGTGAATCCGGAGCTTAGAGGTCGGTATAAACATGTTTACTTCTTTATTCTTGGCGTGAAAATGAGCCTTAAACTTTAATGAGCCAAAACTTTAATGTTTGACGTGAAAAGTCGAGTGTTATTATCTCTGATTAGAATCTTTATTTCTATCTTTGTGGATTGTCGGAGATAATTGAGATTTAAAGCATTTGATCCTCTTAAATAGAGTTCTTAGAATCTTTATTTCTTGTCTTTTTAAATTGTTGAAGATGATTGAGATTTGATAAGTTTGATTCTCTTAAATGGAATCCTTGGAATCTTTATTTCTTGATTTTCTTAAATTTAGCATTTTTAATCATTTGTTTGAGCTAGATACAGTTTTTGAATTGAACTGAACTTGAAGGAGTGGTTTGGAGCCTGTTCTTTAATTGCATCTTTATTGCAAGTTCATCTCTTCATCTGTGGTTCTGCCCGGAAAAGTAAGCATAAACCTTTATTTAAGTTTACTTGAAATTTGCCTTTTTTTGGAAGTTTCCACAACCAATGAAATTTGCCTTTTCGGAAGTTTCTGCAACTCAATTTTTTTTGCAACTCATGAAATTTGCCTTCTTGGAAGTTTCAGCAATTCATTCCATTTCGCAACGTTTTCCCACATTTTGCAACGTTATTGCAACTTTTGCAGCGATATCTTTAATTTTTGCAACGTTATTGCAACCTTTCTTATCTTTGCAACTTTCCTACATTGCAATTATTGGCAAAATGCTTTAAGTTCGCCAATTTTATTCATCGCATTTATTATGCAAAGTTTTACCATGCAATTTATTACATGGTTTTAATTTGCGAGATACAGTGGTCTTCATAATTACCGAGTTTTTTCTCATAAAAGTATTACTTTTAAAAGTACAGTGGTACTCATAATTACCGAGTCACCAGTGCATTAGTTAATGCTAATAAGATGGTTAAATAGCCATAATAATTTATTGATTAAAGTAAACAGAGTTTAGTTTTGGTTAATACCATGGTTCAAGCTTTAAACTTATGAATTATAAGCTTAACTTTAGCTTCTTTACAGCTGTAACTATTGGACCTTTTATGGGACCCTTATGGCTGTAAACTTTTAAATGCTTGTTTAACCCAACTTTTGTTTAGTTCGGAAGAGTCTTGCGAATCTATCAGTGCCACAGAGCTCTCTATTTTCAAGAGTGGAACTTACATATTTGTATTTGAAGTAATAAATTATTGTTCAGTTATTCCTGTTTCATTTTAAAACCACATATATAGAATCACTTTAAATTTTTCTGCTACTGCAGACAGGGTATTATTTTTCTGCAACAGTATAGACGCAACAGACAGAAGTAAGGTTAAGATTGCGACCAAAGCGCTTATTTTTCGCCGTAAGCCTATACACCCTTTCATTTTTGTGAACACTCCCTTTAAGTTTGAATGATGAGTATTTCCCTAGTGATCCATTTTTACTTGATATTTTATGGTTATTAACCCTATCCCTGCTGGGGTACTTGAAAACCAGGATATGCTGGGGGGGGGTCAATTTGACCCCCCCCCCCTCTAAATCCCATGTTTTATGTCCAAATATGACAAATAATACATCATTAGAAAGCTCTTGTGCTCTACTTTTAGAATCTGCAAAAAAATTTGCAAATTTGCAAAAATTAAATATTTTATCGCAAAATCCAGTTATATAGTAAAAAAGTTTGCAAAAAAATAAATTTGTCCAAAAAATGAAAAATTATACATTTTTGAAAAGCCCTTGACCATGCCATTTCAAATATGCAAAAAAGTTTGAAAAAATTTAAATAACCTGATTTTTAATCAAGAAAAACTAAAAATGTGCAAATTTCTATTGACAGGTTATTTGCAAACAATTTGCATTTTTTTTCGCAAAACTTGTGTAATTGTAATCCGTAATCAATCATTCAGGCAGTATGCCTGAGGATTGAGGAATCAGGCAGTTAGTATTAAAGCCCGGTTTTAGGCCTAAAGGGAGGGCTTTGGGTATGTAAGAAAAGTCAGAAAATTTCAAACATTCCCAACCTGCAAAGTCTTTTGTAGGTCATACAGTCACTTGAATGTATTTAACAATAGATCAAAAGCAGGTGCAGAGTAAGGTTTTAGTTATAAATCAGAATTTGTGGTGAGATTGCCTGTTATAAAACGTGAAATCTTCTTTAAAAAAAACTAGAACGTAAATGTTTAGAAGTACTGTCTGAGCCGATTGTCTGATACACTACGTTTTAATAATTTATTCATTTAAATACCTATGGAGAATAAGGAATTAAGCCAATTCATTTTATTCAATTCCTTTTAAACATCAAGTCGCAAATTATTCAGAATATTTGCCAAAAATACAGAATTTGTTTGATTCTTTATCTAAACTTTTAAGAACTCATAAAAAGATTTTATTCAAGTTTTAGAAAATCATCATTTTGATCATTTCTTGACAAAAAAAAGTTATTTTTAAATTAGTAAAGATCGTTTTATAAAGAAGAATTTGATTACAATAAAATTACTGAAATGATAAATATGTTTTATAAATATGTTTTATAATGACTATTGCACAATGTCGCCTACTTTTGCATATTTTGGTAAAATTATATATTTGAAAATTTGTCTAAATACTTGTAACTTTAAGTCATTTATAAAGATATGTGTGTAAATATTATAGTCAATATTCTTAAACTATATGAAAAATCGAGAAACCTTTTTTTTAAACCCGAAGAATTTGATTACAGATTTTGATTTTTGGAGTTAAATTCAAATATTATAAGCTTGACATATCTTGATTTTTAACAAAAAATTAGCAAAAGAATTTAATTAAGTTACTTCTTACAATAAAAAGGTTTGTGCTATCTAATAGTGAAGTATAGTTCTCTGTTTTATTTTTTAAACAGAAATTAAGAGAAATAATTTAAGCATGATACAACTATTGAGTGTTTTTTATTATCTGGAAATTTTTAATTTTTAATTTAATTTAATTTTTATAATGAAATATTTTGATTTAATTTACTGAGAGAGTTTTATAGAAAATTCATTAAGTGTAGTATTTCTACATACAGAGTTCACTATTTTACGAACATTGTATTCGATGGAAATCATTGTAAAGTTCTTGACATTTATACTACATACACTCTACACTCTACACTTTACACTCTACACTTTGCACACTCTACACTCTGCACTCTACACTCTACACTCTACACTCTACACTCTACACTCTACACTCTACACTCTACACTCTACACTCTACAATCTATTACACTCTTCACTCTTCACTCTACAAGTATAAACTGAGGTAGGACTCCTGTTTGTTGAATCTACTTATGATCTTAATATTCAATAAGGCCTCTTTTGAATTTGAGGATCAATGTTTTATCCCTTGATTCCTTGATTAATGTTATCTGTACAGGATATCGAAGAGAAATTGAATTAATACGTTAAAGGTGTGCAAAAGAATAAGATCATTTAGTTTATAGTATTTCTACATACAAAGAGTTCACTATTTTACGAACATTATATGTAAAGTTCTTGAAATGCGTGATCCCGAAAATTACATTACAAGATATCTGAATGTATGAAAATAGGTAAAATGATGTTAAATTATTTAATTTCTATTCTAATGAACTACGAGGATGGAATTGTGTAAGCGATGGGAAAAAACTAAAGGGAAGGGGAATTTAATGATATGTAAACGTGAATGTTATCAAATAAAAATATTTTTAAAAAATTTTAAATATTCAACTTGAAAAAATATGTTTTCGAAAATCTATCACGTACTTTTTAATGTAAATAAATATATAATTGTCATTGTACTTTTTTTGACGATTTTTTGAAGCGATCTTAAAATATTAAAAAGATTAATTCACCATATATTTAGCCTTTAGATCTTGGTATGAAAAAACTCCCTGAGTGTTCTATCTCAATGTAAAATGGAAAATAAAGAAAAATTATTTCTATTTTTCATAATAAATTGAATTAATAACCCTAGAAATGAAAAATTGGATGCATTTATTAGATATTTGGATAAAAATTATATTAAAGAGAGAGTTTCTGAACTATGCGGCCCAATTGCCTGCAAAAAATATACATGTTTAGCAAATTTGAGTCATCGAAATACTACATTAAAGGAAGAAACAAAGGGGTAAAGAAATCACTGACTGAGACTATTCCTAATTAAAGGAAACTATATGTTTACATGACTTAACCCTAAAAATAATAAAAGTCATAAATTAAAATTAAGATAAAAAAATTGTTTTTTATTTTCTATAATCTCCTTTTGAAATCTTTAAAAATGCTATTAATCGAAAAGAAAGTGTTAGACTTTTGCTTTTTTGCGTTGCAGCAATGTTTATAAAAACACTGGAAGAAAGAAAATAAAATCTAAAATTCAAAATTAAAGAATATTTAGTTGTCAATTAATCTATTTTATAAAAGCATAACAAAAAAATAATGAATAATAATAAAATATATTCACTATTGAGAATTTGAAATTTATATTTCGACGCCACTGAATAGAAAGGGAAGAAAAAATTTCTTAGAGAATACTATTAATATACCAGGCGTTTAGGGCACTTCGCGCCCATTAACTATTTCAACTGTTAAACTTTTTGTTCTATCTGTGAGTATATTATTTATGTACAGCATAAAACAATAACAATCAAAGTACGCTGATTTCATAATTTTGTTCGTGAACTTAAATTTTTTTTTTAAATAAGTCTTCCCTGGGGTCATTTAAAGTCGGTCCACAAACACTTTGGGCCCTATTGATTATGTCTTTTTCACGTTTATCTGTTACAAAAAAACAGACAATCAGAAAAGCAAAATACGTATATATTTATATATAATATATAAGATATATAAGAAAAGTTTTAGGAAGAATAAATCCTGTCTGAGCTTCAATAAAAACTGTTTAATCCATTTTGTAAACTTTTAAAATATAATATCTACATAATCTCATCAAAGTGTAAAAACTAATTTTGTTAATTTTACACTCTCAAATTTTCTTTAATATTATTTTTTATATTTGAAATTCTCAAAGTTTACACTACTCAAATATTAGATTTTTCATATTTTTCAAATTGTAAAAAAAATCTGATAACTTAATGATCATAATTACCAAATTGACCAAATATTGGTTCATTAACATTTAGATCTAAATCTAACATGTCACGGGCAGCCGTAGTATATTTGAATTTCCGAGCCTGGTCAACCTTTCCGGTCTCAGTTTGTACTGTATTGCCTGGGCATTGGGTAAATAAAGCAGACACCCAATAGAACTAGCCAGTGCAACAAGGTTGACGCGGTTAGACTTTAGGTTGAATTTACTTTTACTGAAGAGTAAGGGGTGCGTGATGTATACATCCAAGAAAAAAAAATGCAAAGTCAAAAATTGGCTTTATTTGTAGGTTTTTTTTAATTTAACTACAGCTAAATTTGGCGCACATTATATTATTACGTAGATAGCATTACTTACTGGTATTATCTTTTACATAAGTTTAAGATGTTTTTAACATTTTTCCGGAACCTTTTCCCGGAAAATTCCGGAATGATTTTTCCGTAAACCAGAATTTTCTGAAACAATATACCGAACTTTCTGTAATTCCGTAACAATATTCCTGAAATTTCCTGTTTACGGTAAAAAATTTTGGATCACTTCCGAACGTAAACCGTAACCCGAAATTACTGTGGCAACCCTAATATTCATGTTTAGTTCATGTGAATTATCCAATATATAGTCAAGTAAAAACATATAATATCAGATTTTTGTATAATTTGATAAATCCAAAAGATGGACTATTTAAGCAGTGTTCAGAAATAACATTTCTAATTGTTTTAATGCAATTTTTCTATCTTTCCTAGGAACAAGGATTAAGAAATCACGATCATCCAAAGGTTAACAGCACCAAATAAAATCGATGTAATTTTTGCCAATAATTTCATAAAACTAAATAAAGCGAGTTCTTTGAGGTTCTTAAATATCATGACTTGGGCTTCACAAAGGATACATAGATTGATCATTAATCATAAAGCGTTGCAACAGTCTTTAATATAATGCAACTTTTACAACAGCAGCCTAGATTCAATCTAAACAAAATATATAACCAAAGCGTAAAGGTAAAATTCTACCTGTTCAATTTTTAACCCGTAAGACATATAATACACTGATACGATTATACAAGTATAATTATAAAATTGAAAAAGAAAATAATAATATCAACCCCCCCTTTCTCACAAATATATGATAGTCCCATACCATTTAGGGTTTAAGTAAGTGCTTAATAAGAAACTCCTTACCCCTAGGGGGGAGGAAGTTTTATTGAGAAACTAACTTTGTTTGATGTTTAGAATTGAAAATAGTAAATTGTCTTGCATTGGATCTGACTTAAATAAACATTTCTTTTGACATTTTGTATTTGACACAAAAATAGATTTAGGAACTGATCACTCACCTAAAAATCTGTCAATCTTGATTTTTTTGTAGCCTGATATTTAACCCTATTCCTACTGTGATGTCTCCTCTACCAAAATAACCCCAAGACACCCAGTTTTCTTATTCATGGCATTTTATACATTTTCAAAATCTTTAATAAACATGCAAATTTGAAAAATCAAAATATATATTGCGAAATATTAAGCAAAAAATGCATGAAATAACATCAAATCAATCCTAACATGACAACATTCCTCTAACGCTAATTTCATATTCCTGATTTTTAAAACTATCACTTTTCTAGATCAGAAAGACAAAGTTTGAAATATATTTGATGAACCATAAAGTTGAAAAATCAAGATGTGAGAAATTAGATTTTTTTGTAACAAAATCAATTTAATAAATTCTAACTGCCCCCCCTCCCTTATTTCTGTTCACTTTTATAAACTATAGGGCTTACTTGTGCAAGGTCTTGGTTTAGTGTTAAGCAGGGCTGATTATGCTTGTTTATACAATAAATAAACAATATCCTGATTGTTCATTGGACAGGAATGGCAAAGACGTGAGGGAACAAGGTTTATGATTGAGTGTTGGAAACTTTAGAACAAACCCAGAATTGTAAACCTGGTTTGGCAGAGGGTCAGTCGGTTTAGCATAGTGAGAATTGAGAATATCTTTAGATATTGTTCATCCTACATTTTTAATCACTTTGTTCCTCTCAATCTCTATTTTCTTTTGATCATCTTCCTTATCTTTCTGCAAGTCTTTCTTCAATTAAAAAATAAAAATTCCGCAGATTTTCCAACTTTTATTGGTGAATTTTCAAAACTCTAAAACAGCATGTTATGCGTGCAAGCTTCTAAACAAGAGAGTTTCAATTTATAAGAAACTTTTCATTAAAGTTAATATCTGAACGTTTAAGTGAATTTTAGTCAAGACTGTGATCGTGATATCTGGGTTGCAAATGCACTCAGTTGTTGAATTCTTAAGTTTTATATTTAAGAAAAGAATTGATAACCAGACATTTGTAAAATAGAAAGTTGACTTTAAAATCAAGTTATGATGGTAGCGTACATAGTCCAATGAGCACAAGACATATCAATTGTGTAGTGTAAACAGTCCCATTTCACTTAATAAGTGATTTAATACCTTACTCTTTGCTTTGTAACATCATCAAATTTACTTCAGTACTTTCTGTTCTGTCGTTTACTATTCTACAGTTTTCTGGTTATCACTGTATTTAGATTTAATTTTTGTATCTTGCAAAAAAATGAAATTTTAATTTTTAATCACCTGTTTGAACTATAGAATATTCAATATAAATTATGCTCACAGTGTCTTTAAGATTTCCAATCTAATGCTTAGTTGAATCAATTAAAACTTGTTTACCAATACCATAGCTAGTTCTGAGTTTGAAAACGATGGTTCATGCTTATTAGAGTATATTTGCAATATCAAGTTTTATCATTCACATATATAAATCACTATAACAAATCGGCAGAAGGCTAATTTAGGTCCAATCATATTCAGAGTCCTCATTAGGTTTGAGAGGGAAAGGTTTTTTTTAGCAGAAACGGGCAACCTGGATTCCAGCATCAGCCATCTTTGATCTTTCCTCAGTCTCTTCCAACTCTTGCTGTGCCTTACGGAACTTTGCGAGGTTAAGAGCAGCAATCTCTTCAGCCTCCTCAATCTGTTGCTTGTAAGTCTTTATCTTTTGTTGAAGCTTGCCAGCAAGGTCAGACATTTTTTCTTGGTTTTTCTTGTCTTCATCTTGAGCAAATCCAAGTTCTTTCACCTTACGTTCAGCTCGTTGGTATGCCTTCATATTCTCAGAAGTACGGCCTTGAACAGATCCCAACTCATTTTCAAGCTCCCTAATTCTCATCTCAAGCTTAGCCATGGCAGCTTTGCCTCCCTTCATGGCAGCAGCTTCAGCATCAGCAAGACGTCCCTCAAGATCTCCAAGCTGGGCTTCCAAAGCCCTCTTGGCAGATGCTTGGCAGTGAGCATGATCTTGCTCAGATCTGAGTTCATCAGCTAGACGAGCAGCATCAACCATAGCCTTCTTGGACTTCTCTTCTGCATTTTTGGCAGCCTGAAGAACAGAATCAATTTCAGCCTGGACTGTATGAAGCTGACCCTCAAGAGAGCGCTTGTGAGACATATCTCTAACATTAATGGCTTGAAGCTCATTGCAGCTGTTGCGAGAATCAGCAATTTCCATATCCAACTGGCGTTTTGCTCTTTCTGCTGAATCAAGAAGAGCACGGCTCTCCTCAACCTCTCCAGACAGAGCAGCAGCCTTGCGCTCAGAAATTCCAACTTGCTCAGAAACTTGTTGGCGCTGACGAGCTTCATCCTCATAGGCTTGAATTGTTTCTCTAAGTTGGCCCTGATAACGCTTAATTGCCTTTAGGCCCTCAGAGTTAGCTTTGTTGGCATGGTCAAGTCCAATCTCCAACTCATTAATGCCTCCTTCTAGAGTTTTCTTAATGCGGAGAGCTTCAGCCTTTGCTCTTTGCTCAGCTTCAAGGGAGGCTCCTAGTGATTCCATAGCATGTTGGTGGTTTTTACTGAAAAATAGAACATGCATATTTGTCCATACTAAAAAAAAAATTCTGAAAATTCAAGAGAATGCTTTAACTTACCGAGTATTGTTAAACTCTTCCTCCTTTTCACCAACTCTTCTGTCAATTTCCTGGCGAACTTGGCTTAATTCAAGCTGGGCCCTAAGCACCTTATTTTCCTCCTGCTCAAGAGCACATTCAGCCTCCTCCAGTGCAGCTTGAAGCTCTTCCTTTTCTTGCTCAAGTCTCCTGCGCTGTTTGTCCAGGTCATGAATTGACCGCCCTCCATCTCCTAGCTGATCAAGAAGATCCTTGATTTCATCAGCAAGATTCTTATTTTCACGCTTGACAATATCAAGCTGCTCCAGAGCCTCATCTTGAGCAGCCTTCAGGCGGAAAAGCTCAGAGCTATAGTTCCGTCCCTCACTTTGAGATGCTTCTACCTCAGCAGCAACATCAGCAGCCTTTGCTTGCCACTCACCTAGGACCTTGTCAAAGTTCTTACCTCTCTTTTCAGTAATAAGAGCAGCAGCATGAACACGCTCATACTCCATTGAAATTTCATCAAGATCAGCTGCAAGACGGGCCTTGGATTTTTCAACACTGGCAATCTTAGTCTGGAGACTAATATCCTCCATCAGCCTTATTAGGAACCCAAACAGACTTTTTAGGGTCATATGGCTTCATCTTGTTCTTTAACTTAAGTTCATCATTGACAAGAAGCCATGGGGATGGATCTGGGTCGGGTCCAGATGTTTTCTTAATATGTCCAGGCATAGTTCACCAGTTCCCAGTTTCTATAACAAAAGTGCTGTAATTTTTTTATATTTTGATTGTGTAAAACAATTACAGAAGTAATTAAAAAAACATTTTAAAATTATTTCATTAAAATTTAAGAATAAATTTTTTTTATTAATTTTGGGATTCATCAAAGCAATTTTGACCGTTTTGATGTCACTGAAATCCAGACTGTTTTTGAACCAGAAATTGTTTGTGCAGCATTCTAAAATTTTTCACAAAAGCAACCATATTTACAAGTAATTAGAGGTTTGCGTTAATAGGCTACAGATATGTTCTAGTTTATGTCAGATTGGTGCAGAGGCGTCCATAATTCCAAAAAATCGGGTTAATTTGGTGAATAATCACTTAACAACAGTAAAAAATATCCAATTATTTAAAACAGAAATCATATTATCTCATTTAAGTCTTAATCACACAAAGCTTTTATAGATTGAGTTGTGATTGGGCCACATGCCACTCTATAAATGAAGGTTTACTGAACCCTATAAAGACTGGGGGGTCTGAATCTATTAATAGCCTAGAAAAAGGCCTTAGATAATAGTTATAGGGTTGATATGCATGTTTAAAGCCCAATTTTTCAAGGCCAGCTTAAAAAAGCATTAGACTGGAAACTATAATTTTTCGGTGCTATGGAGGGTTGAAAAAATGCCTAATGAAGGGTAAAAAATGAAAAAAAATATTTTTTGTTTTAAACATATATCAAAGTGTGACACATGTTTCTACGTGCATTTTTTAAGGGCTTTTTAAAACTATCGGTTTTAGATCTGTAGCTTTAGTCACAAAAAGTTACTGGCTATTTTTGATTTATTTTTCACAGACTGGACTTTTTTTAACACCCTGTACCCTACCCTATAAATTATAAAACAAATATTTTTTTTTACAAAAAAATCCTTTAAATTACTATCTATTAAAAGTCACAAAATTTCACAGTGATATTGTCAAAAATAAGAGTGCTATGACAAAAAACTACAGGGGGCGCCAAACGCCCCCCCCACCCAGCCCTGTTTAGGGTTAAAAACAAAAAAAACATTTATGATTTTAAACATTTTTAAATAAAGTTGTGAATTGAAGTTTTACCTGTTACAAGTAGAAGGAGGCTATTACTAGTCTGAAACTTGATACTGCCACATTGATCTTTTATAGATATCGCGCAAGCATCAAGTCTTGCGGCTGACCAATGAGAGGACAGGAGTCCCATTGTTTGACCAACGCGCAGGCAGGATTTAGATTGACCGGTCAGGAAAAAGGGCGGAAACTGGGGTCAATTTCTGATCCTGGAAAACACACGATGGGCCGGAATGTGTACTGCATTTGGTGTGTTAAATGCTGTAAATTTATTTTTCATCTAGAATTGGGAAACTAAATTTACAGAAAAATACAAACCCCCTTTCTGATAAAGTTGGCATTGTGTTTTCTTTTTACAACAACAACAGGGTGATTTTCTATCAGGGAGACTTGTTCTTCTAAGGCTGTTTTATCCCATGGCCTATAATATCACTTTTATGTGATAAAACTCCTGAAATATAAAATACGAATTTGTATCCGTCCAGTTAAATCAAAATTAAACATGAAAATTAAGAATTTTCTGATCAAAATAAACTTTCCATTTCTTAATTTCAGTTTTTAAAGTTTAATAGATGTTAAAATCAATATTTAAACAAATTATTGATTGATTTCATTTAGGATGTAACCTTGTGACCTGTTTTATCAGGAAAATGTTTTAAATGATTTCTTTGTTGATTCAGCTACAGATCTAAAGCAAACATATTTAAAAAGCCCTTCTTTGGTATGAGTCGTTTTTAACAATTTCATCCTAAGAGACGCAACTGATAGTAGTAATATTAGTAGCCTTAAGCCTTTACGCCCTTTCATTTTTCGCGAACACTCTCTTTAAATAACAAGGAGACATGCTTGGAAATAAGGGTCTCAAAGGGTTATTTCAAAAGCAAGCCGTGAAATTGATTAACCCTATTTGGCGGGGGGGGGGGGCAATGGGATTCCTCCCTCGTTTTTTTGCGATAACTGAAAGTACGCTCATAAATAGCACGAGCAATACCAGCAACTGAGTTGGCTCATATCTGGATCTCCAGAGCTGAATCTCAGCTTGAGCCTTAGAAAGTGCCTTCAGGGCATCAGTGTTTGAGCCAGGAAGCTCAAATTTTCTGGCTTTTCTAACTAACACATGCCCCTCAGTTAAGGCTGAAAGCTGGGCCTTTATAACTATTGTCTGCAGGCATACTGCTTAAATGCCTTATTTCATCTATGCTAGACTTAATCTATCTTTAGACCTACATCCATCATTGGATTTCAACATTTTATAGCTCTTTTGAAAGCAAGCAGATTGCACAATTTTTGCAGATTGCCTTTATAGTGAATTTGCGTATTTTTTAGTTTTTCTTGAATACACATTTGGGGTTTAAAAATTTTGCAAATTTTTTTGCATATTTAAATTTGCTGGGTCAAGGGCTTTTCAAAAATATATAATTTTTACCATTTGAGCAATTTTTTATTGCACTTTTTTGCTTCATAAGTTGATTTTGCAAAAAATATTTGGATTTTTGCCATTTTTTCATATTATTGAAGTAGAGCCCAGGGTCTTTCCTAAAACTTATCAAATGTTATTGATTTGAATCACAATAAGAAAAAAAAGAGGGGTCAATTTGACCCCCACCCCCCTCCTCCATGCAGCCAGTCAGTGAACCAAATGTCCGGCTAAATAGGGTTAAACATAAATTTTACGCATTTTCATTTTTATACCTTTACTTGCTTAAGTGCTCGGCATTGTCCAGTTTTATATTATTATTCTATAGTCGTAGCTACTCCTGCCGTTTATTTTATTATTCTATAGTCGTAGCTACTCCTGCTGTTTATATTATTATTCTATAGTCGTAGCTACTCCTGCTGTTTATATTATTATTCTATAGTCGTAGCTACTCCTGCCGTTTATTTTATTATTCTATAGTCGTAGCTACTCCTGCCGTTTATTTTACTATTCTATAGTCGTAGCTACTCCTGCCGTTTATTTTATTATTCTATAGTCGTAGCTACTCCTGCCGTTTATTTTATTATTCTATAGTCGTAGCTACTCCTGCCGTTTATTTTATTATTCTATAGTCGTAGCTACTCCTGCCGTTTATTTTATTATTCTATAGTCGTAGCTACTCCTGCCGTTTATTTTATTATTCTATAGTCGTAGCTACTCCTGCCGTTTATTTTATTATTCTATAGTCGTAGCTACTCCTGCCGTTTATTTTATTATTCTATAGTCGTAGCTACTCCTGCCGTTTATTTTATTATTCTATAGTCGTAGCTACTCCTGCCGTTTATTTTATTATTCTATAGTCGTAGCTACTNTGTGCAATTCGTTTCCTTATGTCAAAGGCTTTCCAAAAAGCTAAATTTTATCAAAATCTGACAAGTGGAAGTGGGTCAAAACAAAGATTTAGTTTGTTACAGGAAAAAGCAGTCATTCAGGCAGTGTGCCTGAGGACTCAGGCAGTTAGTATTAAAGCCCGGTTTTAGACCTAAAGGGAGGGCTTTGGGTATGTAGGAAAAGTCAGAAAATTTCAACAGCCTCAGACCAATACTTTTTGAGTTATTTAAATAAAAACTACAGCAGGAATAGGGTTAATCTCAAGATTAAATATTGCTTGTTCTCCTCATATTATAAATCTCCGGATTAATTAACAGATCAGGATTAAGGATATCCCATTCTAAAGTTTTCAGCTCATGACATTTTGATATCTGCAGAGAATATGTTGACACTTTATTTAAAATAGACCTTTGGGCAGGTTCTGATAAAAACCCTAAAAAACCACCAACATTCTTCACTCTGGTGCAAGGTAATTAATGATTTTGAAAAAGGAAGGGTTGCAGATGTTCCACCTATTTGGTACTTACAATAAAAGTTGGATATCAAGTGGAGTAAACAAGCCATTTTCTAGTTAACCCATTTGAAAATACATAAATTATTCGTTAAAGTGAAATAAAAAATCAGAAAACACAACACTGTGAAACATTAATTAACTCAAAACTTGAGTTATAGTCTGGATGAGAACTTAACCTTGAGATCATTTCCCTGAATTTTTAAATCTCACCTCTAGAGGCAAACAATCTCAACCCTATCTCGATTGGGCTATTTTTTGTCTAATATATATCAGGGGGGGGTGTTTTCCAACACCCCTCCCTTATGATTTTGCCATCAAGGTTGAGATAGGGGAGTGTTATATATGTCCCTAGTCCAACTTGACCTGCTCATTAAACACATTAGACCCTTTAACTTTAATTGGTTAGGATCCAAGGGAGGACTTTTAAAAAGTTCAAAAAGAAGGTCGGAGAAAAATTCAAAAATAAATATTTTTACTTTTGACAATTATTAACATGTGTTACATGTAGTTACATCCATTTTTCATGGGCTTTTCAAATATATAAATTTTAATCATTGTAGCACCAACTCCCCGTTTGACTGCACCTCCACGTTTAACACTAGGAAAATTTGTTCACAGCTATGATGTGGAAAAAGTAAAGAAGTTCTAATGTCAACCCTTTTTTAAGTTATTTAGAAAAAACCATTGGGCTGGGGGGGGGGAGGGTGGAAAACAATACCACCCTATTGTGATAGGGTTAATAAATATATTTCAAGACTAATTCAGGGATTGGAACCATACCCTCATGCAATAGCATGTGTTTTTGGTAAATCCTGTCAATCATATAAGCAAAAATATTATAAGTAAAATGGAAAGTTTTATATAAAGTAATGTAATTATAATTAAATTAAATATAAATGTTGACCAACAATAAAACTGATTCCAACCATATCATAAACTTAATTTCATCTCATAAAATCACTTATATTTAATTCAAAATAAACAATTTTTTTTCAAAAACTAGAAAGCCTCAATAATTATATCTCTAGTTAGAGCTGGACAAGTTCCGACTTTTTTGAAATCATTCAGTTCCGTTCTAGAATGAAGGCCTTCAGCTAAATCGTTCCGTTCTCGTTCTGTTCTTGTTCAGTTCCATCCCGTTCAGTTCCATTCTGAGTAGAAGAACAGTCTTCACGTTCCGTTCAGTTCTTTGCGTTCTTAGTTGAAGAACAGTTTCATCCCTCTTGTTATGTTCTTAATAAAAAAGGTTTCCATCCCCCGTTCCGTTCTTAGTAACAAACAATTCCATCCTAGACAAAAGTTTTATAGAAAAGAGTTGGTTAAAAAGTAAAAAAATTACGATTTTTTAATAAAAAGTTCCTCGCGGCTGTAAATAATACATTAAATAATATATTTAAAATTTAGGGTTAAAAGAATAAGCTTAGATAATTTCTGGGCTGAGCAATATATAATTTTGTAAGAGCGGGGGGAGAGGCGGGATCGTCCTAAGATCCTTAGTATGTACGATATACAGAAGTTAAACTGAAACCTGCTGTGTTGTCTGAGTGTTGTCAGTTTAGCAGAGACCGGGGAAGGGGGAGGATGGAAGGATTAAAGTGGGGGGAAGGGTTCATGTAATTAAATCAAAAAATCTTTAACTATTTCTAGAGGATTTAGAATACATTCCTGATTTAAAATGCGTTCCCAACTTAGAACGAGTTCTTGAAAATAAGAACATGTTAATGATTTTAACCATTCTTTTCAAACAATTCCCGTTCCTTTCTGTTCTGTTTTTTCTGTTTTCAAAAACAATCTTTTTTCAAAAAATTTGTTTTTAAAAAATGATTGCTCTTAAAACCATCGTTTTGAAAAACGATCGTTTTTCAAAAAAATCGTTTTTATAAAAATCGTTGTTTTGTTAACGTTTGTTTTCAACGACCCTTTGTTAACAATCGTTAATGAAAAGAGGAAACCTAAAGGGCATCTGTACTTATCATTGAGTAGTTCTTAAGAAAATATCAAGAAGTTTTAGCTCCCCACAACTTTTTAACTTGATATACGACAAAATTCAATGAAGTTGCATTTAACTTTTTTTTCAAAAACGATCGTTTTTCCAAAAAAACTACCACTTTTATAAAGTTTGTCGTTTCGTTAACAATCATTAACGACAACCATTTGTTAATGATTGTTAACATCAACCCTTTGTTAACAATCGTTAATGACGATCATTAGTTAACAATCGTTAACTAATTTTTAATAATTTTTTTCAAAAAACGATCGTTTTTTCAAAAGCGATCTTTTTTAAAAAAACAATCATATAAAAAAAGGTCATGAATCGTTTTTAAAAAGCTATCGTTTTCTAAAACGATCATCATTTGTTTTCTAAAAGTTCAAACGAGTTGGTCGTTTTAAAAAGGATTGTTTTTTTCTAAAAACAAAACGATTGTTTTTGAAAACCAATGAAAAACGAAACAAAAAACGATCATTTAACAATTGTTTTCAAAAATGATTAACAACCCTATGTATGGCATGTGGCTATGAATTTTGAACATTTATTTTATTTTTAGAATTAATTTGTAATGGGAAATATTCATTTTAGGAAGTTTTACTTGATGAAAATTAGCTGTTTTCCCTAACTTTAAACTTTAAGTGACATTAAGACTTTGCCTGCAGAACTTTAATAATCCTCCAAATTTTTTTATGTTGAGCTAACCATCTTTTTGATAAATTGCATTGTTAATAATTCTCTGAATTTGACATCAACAATCATGCTTATTAGATTTTATTTGCAATATCAAGAATTATAATTAACATTTTTAAAATTACTAGTTGGAATAAGGCTAGTTCCAGTCCAATCCAATGCAAAGTCTTCATTAGGTTTAAGAGTTGGAAGGTTTTCAGCAAAATCGGGCAACCTGGATTCCAGCATCAGCCATCTTTGATCTTTCTTCAGTCTCTTCCAACTCTTGCTGTGCCTTGCGGAACTTAGCAAGGTTAAGAGCAGCAATCTCTTCAGCCTCCTCAATCTGTTGCTTGTAAGTCTTGATCTTTTGTTGAAGCTTGCCAGCAAGGTCAGACATTTTTTCTTGGTTCTTCTTGTCTTCATCCTGAGCAAATGTAAGTTCTTTAACCTTACGTTCAGCTCGTTGGTATGCCTTCATATTCTCAGAAGTACGGCTTTGAACAGATCCCAACTCATTTTCAAGCTCCCTAATTCTCATCTCAAGCTTAGCCATGGCAGCTTTGCCTCCCTTCATGGCAGCAGCTTCAGCATCAGCAAGACGTCCCTCAAGATCTCCAAGCTGGGCTTCCAAAGCCCTCTTGGCAGATGCTTGGCAGTGAGCATGATCTTGCTCAGATCTGAGTTCATCAGCTAGACGAGCAGCATCAACCATAGCCTTCTTGGACTTCTCTTCTGCATTTTTGGCAGCCTGAAGAACAGAATCAATTTCAGCCTGGACTGTATGAAGCTGACCCTCAAGAGAGCGCTTGTGAGACATATCTCTAACATTAATGGCTTGAAGCTCATTGCAGCTGTTGCGAGAATCAGCAATTTCCATATCCAACTGGCGTTTTGCTCTTTCTGCTGAATCAAGAAGAGCACGGCTCTCCTCAACCTCTCCAGACAGAGCAGCAGCCTTGCGCTCAGAAATTCCAACTTGCTCAGAAACTTGTTGGCGCTGACGAGCTTCATCCTCATAGGCTTGAATTGTTTCTCTAAGTTGGCCCTGATAACGCTTAATTGCCTTTAGGCCCTCAGAGTTAGCTTTGTTGGCATGGTCAAGTCCAATCTCCAACTCATTAATGCCTCCTTCTAGAGTTTTCTTAATGCGGAGAGCTTCAGCCTTTGCTCTTTGCTCAGCTTCAAGGGAGGCTCCTAGTGATTCCATAGCATGTTGGTGGTTTTTACTGAAAAATAGAACATGCATATTTGTCCATACTAAAAAAAAAATTCTGAAAATTCAAGAGAATGCTTTAACTTACCGAGTATTGTTAAACTCTTCCTCCTTTTCACCAACTCTTCTGTCAATTTCCTGGCGAACTTGGCTTAATTCAAGCTGGGCCCTAAGCACCTTATTTTCCTCCTGCTCAAGAGCACATTCAGCCTCCTCCAGTGCAGCTTGAAGCTCTTCCTTTTCTTGCTCAAGTCTCCTGCGCTGTTTGTCCAGGTCATGAATTGACCGCCCTCCATCTCCTAGCTGATCAAGAAGATCCTTGATTTCATCAGCAAGATTCTTATTTTCACGCTTGACAATATCAAGCTGCTCCAGAGCCTCATCTTGAGCAGCCTTCAGGCGGAAAAGCTCAGAGCTATAGTTCCGTCCCTCACTTTGAGATGCTTCTACCTCAGCAGCAACATCAGCAGCCTTTGCTTGCCACTCACCTAGGACCTTGTCAAAGTTCTTACCTCTCTTTTCAGTAATAAGAGCAGCAGCATGAACACGCTCATACTCCATTGAAATTTCATCAAGATCAGCTGCAAGACGGGCCTTGGATTTTTCAACACTGGCAATCTTAGTCTGGAGACTAACGGTCACCTTGTTACCCTCTGTCGACTCCAAAAGTCCCTCAAGATATCCTCCATCAGCCTTATTAGGAACCCAAACAGACTTTTTAGGGTCATAAGGTTTAGCCTTGTTCTTCAGTTTGATTTCTTCATTGACAAGTAGCCATGGGGATGGATCTGGGTCAGGTCCAGAAGTTTTCTTAATATGGCCAGGCATGTCTATCAGTTATCAGTTCCTTAAAAGAAGGAATAAGATTAAAATGAATTTTGTTTAACATACCTGACATGCATCACACACTTACACAGAGTGCATTGACAACAATGAAACAGATGAAACTTGTTTTTGTTCAAATAGCAGAAATTGTATCATTGATTTACAATGGAATCACACTAATAAATATTGTCCAAGCTTTAACCCTATCTCTGCTGGGGTACTTTAAAACCAGGATATGCTATAAATCCCATGTTTGATGTCCAAATATGACAAATGATACATCATTGGAAAGCTCTTGTGCTTTACTTTTAGAATCTGCAAAAAAATTTGCAAATTTGCAAAAATGTTTGCAAAGAAAAAATTTTCCAAGAAATGAAAAATTATACATTTTTGAAAAGCCCTTGACCATGCCATTTCAAATATGCAAAAATTTTTGCAAAATTTTAAATATCTGATTTTTAATCAAGAAAAACTAAAAATGTGCAAATTTCCTTTGACAGGTTGTTTCCAAAAAATGTGCAATTTTTTTTTTCTCGCAAAACTTTTGCAATTTGTTTCCTTCTGTCAAAGGCTTTCCAAAAAGCTAAATTTTATCAAAATCTGACAAGTGGAAGTGGGAAAACACAAAGATTTAGTTTGTTACAGGAAATAGCAGTCATTCAGGCAGTGTGCCTGAGGACTCAGGCAGTTAGTATTAAAGCCCGGTTTTAGGCCTAAAGGGAGGGCTTTGGGTATGTAAGAAAAGTCAGAAAATTTCAACAGCCTCAGACCAATACTTTTTGAGTTATGTAAAAAAAACTACAGGGGGGGTCAAATTGACCCCCCCCCCAGGAGGAATAGGGTTTAAAAGACTTCTGCAAGATTGTAAATGTATGTTTTGACTTTCAATTGGATATGAACAAAGAATATTTTTTACTTTTCAAGAAATCAGGTAAAAAAATTATATTTTTTGTTTTAACATTTTTTTCCCCTGTATTTTTAGGGCTTGACTAAACAAATTAAGTTTTTTTCTGTTTCATTGATGTTTACCTATTTGAATATACACTTAACAATTTAAGTTTTGGAATTGGAAACACATCTTAGCCAAAGTTACTGCTATAAAGAGTTACTGAGGGCAAGAATATTTCTTCTTTAGTAAGATTATCATAGTGATATTTGTTTACTTAGCTTACATTTGTTTACAGGATACACTGTGTCTCTTGAAAGTGGACCATTTAATGTATTCTTTCCAAAAAGTATAATTTTACTTTGAAGATTTATTAGTAGAAAAAAAGAAATCCAAAAGTTTAGATATTTTGGGTATTTTTAATCCTTTTAATCTTAAAAGTGTGTTTTTTGATATATTTGAAAAAGAGGAAGATTGACTAATCATTAGTAGATTGACGGAGATCCTATACCTGATAGAAATAGAAGGAGGCTATTACTAGTCTGAACCTGGATACGCCAACTCGTTCTTAAATAGATTTCGCGGAAACATCAAGTCTTCTGTCTGACCAATGAGAGGACAGATGCCCCATTGTCTACCCAATGAGTGAGGCAGGATCTAGATTGACCGGCCAGAGTAAAGGACGGGGTGAATCGGAGACTTGTGCGGATTAATTGCTGTAGCCTATAAATACCATTATAAAATTAAACTCTTACACTTCGAGTAAAATGTAGAATTACACAATAATTATATATATAAATACATGTAACAATAAAGAATTTCAGAAAACAATAAACTAGAAGTAAAGCTTAAAGGATATTTTTTTTAATAAGTTCTTTAACAAAACAATATATTTTAAAATATTTAACCTTAATGCATAAATGATATACACTATGGAATGATCGCATTAGTATTATTTAAAATAACTATAAATATAGTACTACATAATGAAGTTAATTTCTTAGTTTTGACAAGTGATAAAAAATAATCTTTTCTTACAACTTAAAACTTTCTGAATAGTAATATGTAAACCCATTTTCTGAAAAGGATTTTAGTTTTAGCAACAAAGTCAAATTTGTAATCACTTTATCATTGCAACATGATGGTTCAAACCTTTGATATTTCAAACTTAGGATGGTGTAAACTATTGATATTTCAAACTTTGACTATTTTACCTAACATATGTCATACTTTGAAATATTAAAAGTCTAAAACATCGGTTGTAAAGATTTAGGTATTGGATCTAACAGAATTCATAGTTTGAACATTAAAAGTCTAAAATATCGGGTTGTAAAGATATAGGTATTGGACCTAACAGATATCATAGTTTGAAATATTAAAAGTCCAAAACATCGGGTTGCAAAGATATAGGTATTAGCTCTGACAGATGTCATAGTTTGAAATATTAAATTTTTAAACATCGGGTTGTAAAGATATAGGTATTGGACCTAACAGATTCCATAGTTTGAATATTAAAATTCTAAAACATCAGGCTGCAAAGATATAGGTATTGGAGCTAACAGATCTCATAGTTTGAAATATTTAAAGTCTAAAACATCGGGTTGCAAAGATATAGGTATTGGTTCTAGGGATGTTAACGTTTTCATTTTTCAGAAAAACGATCGTTTCGTTATGAAAACGACGACAAAAATCGAAAACGAAACGATCGTTTTTAAAAACGATCGTTTTTTAAAAAGGTCGTTTTTAAAACGATCGTTTTTCAAAACGCTCTTTTTTAAAAACGATCGTTTCGTTTTCGATTTTTCGTCGTCGTTTCCATAACGAAACGATCGTTTTTTTTTTCGTTTCGTTAACGATCGTTAACAACGAATCTTCGTTAAGGATTGTTAACGACGACCCTTTGTTAACAATCGTTAAGGAAGAGAGGAAACCGACCTGAAGGACATCTGTACTTATCATTGAGTAGTTTTTAAGAAAATATCAAGGAGTTTTAACCCTATTCCTGCTNGTGTGCCTGAGGACTCAGGCAGTTAGTATTAAAGCCCGGTTTTAGGCCTAAAGGGAGGGCTTTGGGTATGTAGGAAAAGTCAGAAAATTTCAACAGCCTCAGACCAATACTTTTTGAGTTATGTAAAAAAAACTACAGGGGGGTCAAATTGACTCCCCCCCCAGCAGGAATAGGGTTAAAAACAATCTTATAAAAAACGGTCTTAAATCGTTTTGATAAAAACGATCGTTTTCAAAAACGATCGCTATTCGTTTTCTAAAAGTTCAAAACGAGTGGGTCGTTTTAAAAACGATCATTTTTTTCCGAAAACGAAATGATCGTTTTGAAAACGAAACAAAAACGATCGTTTAACGATCGTTTATTGATCGTTTAACGATCGTTTACAAAAACGATTAACAACCCTAAATTTGGTTCTGTCAGATGTCATAGTTTTAAATATGAAAAGTCTAAAACATCGGGTTGCAAAGATTTGGGTATTGGATCTGACAGATGTCATAGTTTAAAATATTAAAATCTTAAACATCGGGTTGTAAAGATGTAAGATTTAGGTATTGGACCTAACATAGAGATAAAGAGATGGGAAAATCAGAGTTTGTATATTAAAAATGTCCAGTACCACCTTTAATTAAAGAAGTAGCTCTTTTTCTTTGATCCAAAAGATATTAAATTAATGATTACAGCTGATTTGAGTTTGTGTACAGTTTATCATAAAATATTAATATTCTTTTTTACTCTTAATCAAATCTAAGTCAAATATACAAAGTCAGTCGCCTATTTACACTTTGTAATAACAACAATTTTTGGATCAATATTTTTTTTTGTTATCAAATTTAGCAAACAATACTTTGTCATTATCCCTTTATATTTTTAGATTAAAATAAATTAAATTATTGACCAGATGAAAGTTTCAACATTTTGAATCGGGCGCACTGCAGAGCCAGAGCTGAAAACTTTAGAATGAGATATCCTTGAACCCGATTACTTAATCTAAGTATCCAATGGACACACTTTTGATTTTCTCCTTAAACCGTTCTTTCCATGAATATAGTAGAGAAAAACCGGGTTTTTTTATTTAAAGGGTCCCTCCCGTTTCTGTATATAATATGAAACGGCGCGCAAAATTTTAAATTTATTGGCTTCATATACACGACGCTGATTGGTTAAATTGCATACACTTTTCAAGATACAAGTACAAGATTAGTTTAGTCTTGATATTAAAAAAAGAGAGGATCAAGCATTAATCTCAATATCCACCATTCTAAAGTTTTCAGTTCAGTTTAATTAACCCTTAATTCAATTATCTCTTTAAGAATTGGTCAGAAATAACAATCTTTTTTTGTTTCTAACCATCTACCCAATATATTTTTTTTTTATTTATATTAAACTGTATGCAAATTCTTTCAGAATGAATGGTAAACCTCGTTTTGACGGTCTAGGGAGGATTTCTTAATTTTTAATCTTTTATACGACCAGTTCATAAAAAAATGTCCTGAGCTGGGAACTTTTGAATGGTGAATATCGGGATTAATGCATTGCTTGATCCACTCTTTTTATTAATCTCTAGATTAAATAATGCTTGTTCTCCTCTTGTTGTTAATCTCCAGATTAACTAACCGATCGGGATTAAGGATATCTAAATTTTTCAAATCTTAGCCCTTGGGAACTCTTTCATTGTGGATATCAAATAATTAACTTATGCACTTCTTCCTTGATCATTTAAAATTTTGTCGTCCAAATATTTATTTACGTTTGCCAAAAATGGGGATCCGAAATAATCAAAGATGGGACTACGAAATAATCAAAGATGGGACTACGAAATAATCAAAGATGGGATTATGAAATCATCAAAGATGGGACTATAAAATTATCAAAGATGGGACTACGAAATTATCAAAGATGGGACCGCGAAATTATCAAATATGGGACTACTACATAATCAAAGATGGAACTACGAAATAATCAAAGATGGGACTACGAAATTATCAAAGATGGGACTACGAAATTATCAAATATGGGACTACGAAATTATCAAAGATGGGACTACGAAAAATGAAAGAAGGGACAGTGAAAAAATCAAAAATGGGACTACGAAATAATCAAAGATGGGACTACGAAGTTATAAAAAATGGGACTTCGAAATAATCAAAAATGGGACTACGAAATAATCAAAGTTGGGACTACGAAATATTCAGAGATGGGACTACGAAATAATCAAAGATGGGACTACGAAATAATCAGAGATGGGACTACGAAATTATCAAAACTGAGACTACGAAATAATCAAAGATGAGACTACGAAATAATCAAAGATGGGACTACGAAATAATCAAAGATGGGACTATGAAATAATCAAAGATGGGACTACGAAATAATCAAAGATGGGACTGAAATAATCAAAGATGGGACTACGAAATAATCAAAGATGGAACTACGAAATAATCAAAAATTTAGTACGTTTTAGTACGTTAGTACGTCAAAAACGATAATTTTCAATTCCTTATTTCTTTGCAACCTCCATTGTTTTGGAATCTGATATTCAACGCTGTACATTCTATTATACTGGGTCTTTGAAAAACCCCGATTTTTGAAATCCTTTTGAATTAAGATTTAGATATCTAAGCTGCAGTCTTAAGTTAGTCTCCTCAATAACAGCTCAAACCTGAGTCCTATATCTCCAAATTCTTTAATACGCTGGATCAAGATAGACAAAGATTAGCTACCTACATGTCGTTCTTCGGTTTAAATTATCGGTCTCTTGAGACACATCATGACAGGTCTCCAATAAAAAATATATTAAAATTTACTAATGTGTCTCCAGTGACTTCTATTCAGACTCTTTACATCATAATTAGATCCATGGATAATTATCTAATATGTACTTTAATTAGATTTGTTGATAAAGAGAAATGGAACTAAAGTGACCTGTACTCTGACCGGACACAATTTATTGCAAAACAAATCTATTTTTGAATTAAAGATACAAAGAATTCTTGAAGTTGGATTCAAGCTGGAGCAAATCCCAACATTCTTTCCTCCCGTATAAAATAAGGGTTAAAGAGACTGTTCCCTTTTTCTATTGAAACATTATATTGTGTAGAATGAATTCCTTGAAAGAGGATTATAAAAACCGCAAATCAGTAGAGTCGGATTCTGGAACCAGAGAAGACCTACTCATCTTCTTCTCCTTTTATATCCTCATAATTCATTATGTTTTTTTATCTAGAAGCAATAAGTGTTCTTCTAAAATGTCATCATTTTTGTAAATGTCCACAAATGTCCATAAATGTCCATAAATGTCCATAACTCTCTATACAGTGTTTTGTCATAATTTCGAGGATTTGTTTAACCAACGCATAAGAGAAACTATATATTATTAAATCTATAGAAAAATTTTAATTAAAATAGATTCAATGTTTTTAAATTTATCAATTATAAGAAACGGGCGATTACAGCTGGCAGAGTTTTAATACGAAAAATGTATAAAAACAAAGTATGTATATATATCATATGTATATTATTATTATTATATTTATTTCAAAATTTGAACAGTTTAAGTATTTTGGAACCGAGAAACAATCCCTTTAAACTGTGCTATAAAATAACATCAC